ACACTCACCAGGATCCTTTTGTAAGGGAAGTCCTGTAGCTCTCCGTTCCTGGGGGAGTCAAAGACCACCGGGAAGGTCTTGTGTGGCGCCTGAACATAGCCCAGTTCCATCTCGTCCTGCGAACGAGAGAGACGCCGTGTGGACAATCCGCACTCATTTGGCACTGAGAACCTTGGAGAAGACTGTTCATGTGGGTCCTTCGTCTCAGGCCTGCCTTGCCCTTCAGGGTGAGGAGGGTAGGGGTGTATGATGCCTGCTGGCTGGAGGAGGGGCTGGAGGCTCAGAGAGGGCACGCTTTTGCTCCGGTCACACAGCAAGACAGGAGGGAGTGAATGAGAAGGTGGATGTGACCCTGGGGGTGTCCCTGTGCCAGATCGGGGCAGAGTGGACACAGAGAGGGGCTCAGGGTGGCCCGACTTGGACAAATAAGTCACTGGACATCAGCCAGCACCTCTGGCCTCCACATGTGGTCGTGAAGGAAGGGCTGGCAGCTGGACAGGGCTGAGGGGACCCAAGGAGGTAGAGATATGCCTCCTCAGATCGCTCAACATTCAACCCAGTTCAATCCTAAGCCCTCTGGTCCTGGAGGCAAAGGTGGCTCAGCACCGATGAACTCTATCTCCGATGAGAAGCTCACTGGTACGTGCCTGGCCCTGCTCTAAGCTCCTTATAAATATTAATTCCAGGAATCCTCATCATACACCTGCACAGAGGCACTATTGTTACCCATGTGACAGATGAGGAAAGCGAGGACCAGAGAGGTCTAATTTTTGTCCAAGGGCACACAGCTAGTCAGTGGCACAGCCAGGCTCCAAACCCAGCCCATCTTGCTCCAGACTCCTGCCCCGAGCTTCCACCTCACTGGAGGACCCTCCAGCCACGAAAGCTTCTGAGCTTGGCATTCAAGGTCTCCAGCTTCAGCGCCTCCCTTCACAGGACCTTGGCCCTGGCCAACAAGAGTGCAAGACATTCTTTCTCGTGCCTCCCCTCTCTGGGCCCTTGCACATGCTGATCCTCTGCAAGGAACAGCATCGCGGGACCCCGGCACGGCCCTTACCAGCTCTGTGGCTCTGGGCATTTGCCCCCCGAGGGCTCCTCAGGTGGGTGACAGCAGGGAGGTGTCGAGAAGGTAAAAAGGATACCACGCATGACCCCCCCATAAGCGCTTGATAAACGGCCGCACTCATTGTCCATCCGGTCCTGCCCAGGTGTCCCTCCTCCGGGAGGTCTTTACCCATCCCCCAGACAGAGATGATGCCACCATCCCCCAAACCCTCTGGCACTTTGCCGACCCTGCCCCACCCCCCCACCCCACCCCCATCCCCGCTGCACCTTCAGCTATGGGAGCGGGGGCTTTGTTGCAATAATTCACCACATCAGGGCTTCTCAGCCGCGGCACAATTGACACTCGAGGCCGGATCATTCCTTGTGTATTCCCTGCAGGATGCTTAGCGGCATCTCTGAGCTCCACCCACTAGAAGCCAGTAGCACCTCCACCCTGGGTGTGACAGCCCCACAGTTGCCCGGATGCTGCCAAATGTCCCTAGGGGTACAGAGGTGCCTCCCGTGGGGAACCACAGGACCAGGCTGCTGAGGGCAGGGAGTGTGTCCCACACCCCCCGCCATCCCCTTCAGCGCCAGCCCCGTGCCTAGCCCACATCCTGTGGGCGAATGGGAGTTCAATCTAGTGTCAGGGTGTGCCTGGGTCTCCGGAAAGTTCTGGAGAGAAGGAGAGAGCTCTAGGTCTAGCAGGAGAAAAAGGAGTGCCCTGGGGAGGACACTCACAGCCCCCAGGTCCTTCTAAGAATTTGTAAGTGACCTCCTCCCACCCCCGCTTGGGATGCGCCAGCCTCGCCCTCCAAGACGCTGTCCATGGTACCTGGATCCAGCGGTCATTGCGGTTCTCGTTCTGCGGGCAGATGGTCAGCTTGCAGCCAGCCTTCCTGGCCAGCTCCGCCACGGCGTCCACAAAACACGTGTTGTTCCTCACGCTGCAGACAAGCCCAGGGAGAGGGGCTCAGGACACAGCCACGTCTGGAGACCAGAGGGGCCTCCGGGGTCAGAAGGACACCTGCTGTCCCCACCCCCCCCCCCCACACACAC